AAAAAAAAAAAAAATTGAAACTAAGGTCTACACCTAAAGAAGGAGCCACCTCTGCCATTCTGGGCCATGAGACCTGCTTCTGTGTCACTTGCCTCAAAGCACATCTCCAGACAAAAGATCTGGGCCCACTGCAGCCATCTATAAGACTGTGTTAATATATTTTCTGAGAGTACCAGGACTATACGAACAACAAACAAGTAACATGAATTCAACTTATGTAACATCATCTAAACTTGAGAGGTCTATTTGCTGAGATTGAAACTAAATTTTTACTCATGAAGTATTCCTTAAAATGAACATGATCTAAAGGTATAAACCAGCATACTAAATTTCACAGTAAAATGCCACATGTGCACACACTGAATCCTAAGAAACTCAATACATTCTGTCAGAATAATGTGCTGCCACTGGTCCCAGGTAAAATCAGTTTCTGTTCCAAATACAAGTAAAGAACCTTGAATTATAAGGAAAATGACTATGTTGCCTATCAGCACAAAGCCACAGACTGCCCATTGGATCATAGTGACAAGAGCAAGAATAACAGGAAATCCAAAGAGGGAAACAATTTCAGTAGTGAATACCCCAGTTCCTGGCTTTTCTGGCAATGAAATGGGGAATGGGTGAGATGGCATGGAAAATCATAATCCTCCAAGGCACAGCCCAGCTTAAGAAAAGTCAAACCAGGCAGCGCCTATGGCTCAGTGGGTAGGGCGCCAGCCCCATATACTGAGGGTGGCGGGTTCAAACCCGGCCCTGCCCAAACTGTAACAAAAAGCTGGGTGTTGTGGTGGGCACCTGTAGTCCCAGCTACTCGGGAGGCTGAGGCAAGAGCTGGAGTTGGAGGTTGCTGTGAGCTGTGATGCCACGGCACTGTACCGAGGGCAATAAAATGAGACTCTATCTCTAAAAAAAAAAAACCAGAAAGAAAAGTCAGCCCAATGCTCCCGCTGCAGGATAATACTACAAGAGTTTTCACACCCACTATGTTTCCTGCACTGGGCTGTGGCTGCTTCCAGTTGCAATAAAGTATTTTTGAATTAAGGTATGTATGAGGTCTGAAAATTTTGTGAACTTGCCCCCTTTGTTAGAACTGTACAAACAACTCAGTAAGTTTTCATAACCTTGGTATATTAGTGTCTCCAGCTGTGTTCGTGTGGATGTGTGGGGGTGTCTTGCTGAGTGGCATTCACTGTTGAGTATTTTTGTGTTTAGAGAATGACAGAGTTTGAATTAGAACAATGAGTAAATATTAAATTTCTTGTTAAATGTGGCAAGAGTAGAAGTGAAATCAGGGACATGTTAGTCCAAGTTTTGGGGGATCATGCCATGAAGGAAACCACAGAGTCCAATTGGATTAAACATGTTTTTGAGGGGAAGAGAAAGTGTCACTGATAAAGAGAGGTAAGAGCAGCCAGTAACAAGCAGAAATGACGAAAACACTGCAAAAATTTATTGACATCTGCGTCAGAATTGTTGACTGACTGTGAGAAGCAGAGAAGACCAAGTCAACATTGATACAGAAACAGGAAACTGAAAATCTTGGCATGAGAAAAGTGTGTGCAAAAGTGGTCTGGAAGGAGCTCACTGATAAACAAAAGCAAAGGAGAGTTGAAGTTTGCCAAGACCTTCTGGAGAGGCAAGATGATGTTTGGGTCATGTTATCTCTGGTGATGCAACATGGGCATGCCAATATGACCCTGAAACAGCATCAAAGTGCACAATGGAAATCAGTTCTCCAGGATCAAAAAAGTTCCATCAATCCAAGTCAAGTTAAGACAATGTTGCTAACCCTTTTTGATATCAGAGGGATCGTTCATTATGAATTTGTACCAAGTAGATAACCAGGTTTGCCGTTTGGAAGTGCTAAAAAGGGTGCATGAAAAAGACAAAAATAATAGAACTTTTTGTCAAAAACTCACGGCTGTTGCATAACAACAATGCACCAGCTTATACAGCACCCATCTGTGAGGGAGTTTTTAGCCAGTAAACAAATAACTGTATTGGAATACCCTCCCCACTCAGCTGACCTGGCCTCGAATGATTTTTTTCTTTACCTGAAAATAAAGGAAATATTGATGACATTCAGGATATCACGGGTAATACAATTGTTCTGATGGCCATTCCAGAAAAAGAATTCTAAAATTGCTTTGAAGGAAGGAGTAGGTGCTGGTTGGTGCATAGCTTCCCGAGT